ATAATATAATATACACTAAATAATGTAAACGTAAAAGAAAGAATGAGAGAAAAACTTGAGATAGATAGATAAAGAGAGAGAGAGAAAGAGCTAAGAGAAAGAGAGAAAGAATAAGGTATCAATACTATATATATGTATATACATACACACACACACACACACATATATATATATTATAAAAGATAAAGTCTCAATAAAAATAAAAAAAAACAATGAAAGGATACAAATAAAAAAAATACTAGTAAAAAATAGAGTGATAAAGAATGATCGAGAAAAAAAGGAGACATATTCAAGCCCTTATATATATATATATATATATATATATATATATATATATATATATATATATATATATGACAATGATAAACATACAAAGAAGTTAAAAAGAATAAAATCTGACCGAAATAAAACACAATAAAGGTAACGAGATAATAGAACGAGATAACGTCCGGCGTTGAAGACGAGAAAGGGTGAGATTTAAGCGTGTGTTTGGCAGGATACTGTCTTCGTGTACCGCAGAAGATCCTAAGATTTTCAGACCCTAAAAACCGTCAAGAAACATTATGCTAGCTTACAATATGAATTCTATTGTGTAGGACTTTTTTTTATCCCCTCCACGGTGTAACTCAATATAGTGCTATACGAAATGAAAAGCCCAGAGTCCGCAAAACAATAGGGCTAATTTTTATTCTGTTTTTTTTTTTTTTTTGCTTCCACAGTGGAATGGATTGGATTCAAGAAGAGGTCACGAGAATAATTGAATACATGAAGCAGGTGCAAGAAAAAGAAACAACGGTCGAAATACCCAAGGTAAAATAATATGGACGACAGCAAACAATGGTGAGAACCTGGGCAAAAAAAGGAGACCAGCAAAGGAAATATGACGTCGATGAAAGGTCTGTCTAACTATTCAGATTTTGCTTAAGAATTCTTCTTACAGATAGGATATTCCTCTATCTATCTATCTATCTATCTATCTATCTATCTATTTATCTATCTATCTATCTATCTATCTATCTATCTGAATGTCCTATTTTCTTTCCTACGCTAAATGCCTATGTAAGCCTGGATTCCACTCTATGTTGACGTTTCTGTCAATATTTCTTTCCATTATCATTTGCCATATATATATATATATATATATATATATATATATATATATATATATATATATATATGCACATAGAGATAGGAAAAGTGAGAGTAAGAATGATCGATCGATAGATAAATATATATAAAAAGACTGTATTTATAGCTATATATATATATATATATATATATATATATATATATATATATATATATATATATAGCAACATGGCCCGGCGTTGCCTGTGCTTGATTAAAAATCGTACGACTCATACAGAAATCGCTATCACTTGACTTAAATATATTTTTGCCCTTCCTTGCCTTTAAAAGAGTGCCCTTTGCCGTGCTGATGTTGCTACATGCCTTACTTCTTGCCTATCTCACACTGCGAATTTACGATAAAAGAACTAAACAAAATGAACACAAAACGATCAGCTTTAAAAAAGGACTCGTAACTGGAAAAACCGAATGAAAAAAGAATGTTAACAACAAATACTTTTTCACAGCCAACCCAGTTCTGCGGAATCAGAATCAACGTTGAGTTTAAGCAAGCGAATGAGCCAATTGGAGTAAAGTGCCATGCAGATTTAAATTTTTCCCACTTGTGACGAATGCAGCTATCGATATTTTTGCATGCTAGCATGCTAGTTAGCATTCGTGTCAATCAGCTGTTGGCTCTCACGCTAGCCAATAGAATCTTCCTGCCTATTCATGGTAACCAGCTATAGGCTCTCACTATGGGCAGTAGAAAATGGCCGCAAACTACATGAAAACTGAAAGGATGAAAAATCGAATCTTTCCACTATCGATGGGAGTTGGGAAATGCATAGTCGGTCTTTGCGTTCCCGCTAACTTGGAGCATGTGGATGTAAATTTTCGTAAATCCGTCGAAAATTGCGGCCGCATGCGTTACACACACACACACACACACACACACACACACACACACACACATCCCTGCCTTATATATATATATATATATATATATATATATATAATTCTAACCATATATGCCTAAGTTAAGTTACTCTTAATAATATCTGTGTATATGATTTCAACCGTTTCAGTGTGGCAATATTTATCTTCCCCTATCTTTCTCTCTATCTATCTATATATCTATCAATCCATCACTCTGTCTCTCTATCTCTCCATCTATCTATCTACCTATGTAGCTTGTATTATTCATATCTATGTATATTTCTCATTGTTTCTTTTTTATTTCTTTAAATTATAAGTTACTTTTCTTTCTTTTATTCTTTCTTTCTTTCTTTATCTATCTATCTATCTATCTATCTATCTATCTATCTATCTATCTATCTATTACAGTTTCTCTATCTATCTATCTATCTATCTATCTATCTATCTATCTATCTATCTATCTATCTATCAGTAGGTTGCCGTTTCTTTCAGTGTTTGTCTGGTTGCCCGAAAGCGTACACCCGGGCAGGGACAAAAATTGTCCACAGCCCCCGCAACCATCCATTGCGCTGGCCTCGGTGCGAGCACCGATCCTTCTATCTGGTGCAATGAGAGGGCGCGGCCTCGGGCAGCTGTTCCCCAGGGCTGGGCACCTCTCAGTATAATTTTCCTTAGTGGCGATCCTGTCCTTTGACGGAGCCGCTCCCTGAGACGCTGTATTTAATTGACCCCCCACCCACCACGAGGTCAGGTTGTGACAAAAGGTTGGTTTAATGTGGGGAGCCCGAGCGCATGCACCCGGGCAAGGAACAAAAATTCCCCGAGCCCCCGCAACCATCGGTTGCGCTGGCTTCGGTGCGTGTACCGATCCTTCTCTTTAGTGAAATGCGAAGGCGCGGCCTCGGGCAGCTGTTCTTCAGGACTGGGCACCTCTCAGTATAATTTTCCTCAGTTGCGATCCTGTACTTTGATGGACCCCCCCCCCCTAAGACGTTTGTTTTTATTTTTTTGCTTGTTTGTCATTTTTGAGGCCGCTTTAAATTCTGAACCAGTCTTACAAGGCTGGTTACAATTTTTTCCTCCAGTTGTTTATAAAAAATATGGAAGTGCCGGCAGGACACCACAGTTGCACTGGTATTGCGAAAGGTGCCTTCCAAAATCTAAGAAACGTATTAAGAAAAAGTAAAAATTTCGTTAGAAACAAAGAAAATAGTAACGAACTGCTATGTAATGTATGTCCTCCTGTGTGTCAGCAAATGCTGGGCAAATCGATGTATTTGATTTGAGCATCTCGAAGGGGTGTCGTAGTTAGTAAGAACAGTTCTGAATAATTAGTTAATTCGATCCTCACTGTGTGTTCTATACTTTACATCTATTCTTAGAAAATCACCATAGTTGAATGTATTTGATTGATTCAGTTTCTATGGCTTATCAACTATTTGTAAGTTATTTAAAGCCAGAAATTTTTTTTTATATCCACATTATAATTTCTTGTTTGTTCAACAAATTCTGATTAGGTATAGATTCACCTTTTCTCACATTATAATTTCTTGTTTGTTCAACAAATTCTGATTAGGTATAGATCCACCTTTTCTCACATTATAATTTCTTGTTTGTTCAACAAATTCTGATTAGTTATAGATCCACCTTTTCTCACCCTGCTATGGGTTAATTAGGAAGATATTTATGACTAAACCATTATTATCTCAAAAACAAATGCTTACAATATATATATATATATAAAAAAAACATTGGGGGATCAATACATAACCTGATCCCTCACTTTGTGTCCACGGCAGAGAGAGTAACTAAATCTAAAAGACATTTTTATGACTTATATTGCTAAACTATATATAAACTGATCCCTCACTTTGTGACTCTGGACGTTTTTATACATTTATATTCCCGAGAATGTAAATAAATCTAAAAGACATGCCTGTGTAGCTCTTATATTGAAATCAATACATAGCCTGGTCCCTCACTTTGTGCCCACGCCAGAGAGTTTAACTAAATCTCAAAGATATGATGCCTATGTATGCCTATGCCTATGTATTTGATTGATTGGTGATAGTTTTTCTATGGCTTATCAACATTTGCAAGTTATTTAAAAACCAGTAAATATCTTTAGTTCTAAAGAATATTTTTGGAGATAATACTGATTTAGGGATACAAATCTTACTAATTAACACGCCGGCTAACAAGGGCTCTGGTGAAAATCCAAGGAGCGTCTGCATCGGCAACCGGCGGCTTCTGGTCGTTCCTGTCTCTGCGTCTGTGGGAACCCCGCGGCAAGCAAGAACGTTATCCGAGTAGGCCTGGGTACCCTACTTCTGTAATTTATCCCAAGAATCTTCTTCTAACATGACTACGAATCATCACTACTCTGCTGCACATGCTACGGCGTCCGCGGGAGCCGACATCTCGTGCGACCTCGCGACAGACCGCCGAGCGTGGGCAGCAATGGTCCGTGATGCGGTGAGTCAACAGGAGGAAGCCGGCTCAATCCGCCCAGGGTGAATGCCGCATCAAGTACAAGTAAGTATTCAATTGCGACCAACTGAATATTATCTACTGAGTATTATCAGATGAGCATCATCTACTCATTATCAAATTTCGATCAACTGAGTATCATTAACTTATTAACTCCCAAATATTCAATTGCTATTACTTGAGTATCATCTATTGAGTATTATCGACCGGGTATCATCAACTGAGTATCTTCTACTGAGGGCCCAAATGTAATCAACTGAGCATCATCAGCTATCATTTACCAAATATTAATTGCAATCAACTGAGTATCATCTACTGAGAATTATCAGCTGAGTATCATCTACCAAGTATCGAACTGCGATCAACTGAGTATCATCAACTATCATCTACCAAATATCTTAATAGCGATCAACTGAGTATCAACTACTGAGTATTGGCAACTGAGTAGCATTTACTGAGTATCCTCTACCAAGAATTCAGTTGCGAATCAATGTATAATATTACTTCAAAGCTCTCAAGCAAATTAAATTTCGGCATTAAATGACCCATGAGGAGTTGATGTGCTTTTAAAAAGTCTGTCAATGAAACCAAAATAACGACGCCCATGTACCTTTATTCAAGTGATAGCAGGATCTGACATGCACATTGGAAAGAGTTTGGGGAGATGAAAAAAAATTATCAAGGTTACTCAGGCTGGCCTGGAACTACACAGCTTCACCCACAACAAGAATCAATGTATATTTCCTGACGTTTTGATAAACATTCGATAAATAGATATAGATCCATTTTTCACATCGGTACGATAAGCAGATATCCCCTTTTATACGTTTTTTGGTGATGCAGTCAGCGTAAGCTAGACCCTAACCGATAAGGCACTCAACATTCTTCTTCTTCTTCTTCTTCTTCTTCTTCTTCTTCTTCTAGGTGCATTCTTGAGGTTGGGGATCATGGTTCTCCACAATTTCCGTAATTCCTCATCTTTTTGTTATCTTCCTAAACCCTGAAGACCACAGGAAGAAATGGATTATTGTATTTTATACTTACTAGATGTTCACCCAATAAAAGGGCCAAGAGCAAGTCAGAGTAGATCGTTATTGAATGAAGTAAGCTGAGAAGTAAATGCAGGTGCGCAGGATAGATATAGGTTGACGGTTTAGATGGAGTAATTGGGGAAATATCCTCTTCTGAGTCTGTCCCACAAAGTAGTAGTTTTTCGGGAAAAATCTGTGTGGAACTTCTTCTTTACCAATGCAATACTAAAGGAATAAGCATGATCCAATCCTGCATTTATTGCATGGCTCGTCCTAGCTGTGAATGTCTGAACTGGTTGAAAGAAAGGAAATTAGCTCGTGTAACAAGAGAGCATGTCAGGAGGAACCAGATACTTTCTAGAGTGGCACAAGGGACCGACTATTCCTCCATCCTTTAACCATGGAACATGTATATGAGTTACATTTAAGAACTTAGATGTACTCGAGTCTCAAAAAACGTTCATGGCAACATTGATAGTACAACCGTTCATCTTGACTGGAGAAAATTCTGGCTCTTCTCGCTGATAATGGAACACGACTGGAAATCAATCTTTCTGTCTCCTTCATTAATTATCGCCGTCTCAAGTGACGTGGGTGATACACTCATAGGCGATTGGTCCGAAATGAGATACCTCCACGGCGCCGTGTCTTTTGTTTGGTCGAACCGCTGTACTAAACCCGAGGAGCACATTATTTCCTGTCGAGGGTCGAAGTAAGGAAGGACCAATTGCTTTTTTCGTGTCGGTATGCGAGCTAGATTTGTTTTTGAAGTTATCTTCTTCTAGCCTTTATCTAAAGTGACAGGAATTACTGTACAGCAGCTGTTTGAATTATTTTTCCTAGACTGGTTGCCAACCCACAGGAAACAGTCTACATTTCTATTTTACTCATAGCTCGGGAGTGAAGAGATGAATTCCAAGGGTATTGACACGTAACTGAAAAAAACAAACTCGACTCTCCCGATTCCTCAATCAGAGCCACTATCAATTATTCATCCCTGCTTCCTATTGGAGAGAGAGCCATGAGGATGTAAGCCTCTGTTTTATAGATTACGCAGAAGCATTTGATAAATTTACTGATAAGGATCTTAGAAAATGGTCCGAAATGAGATACCTCCACGCCGCCGTGCCATGTTCCAATGTCGTGTTTGAGCGAACCGTTGTACTAAGCCCGAGGAGCACATTATTTCCTGTCGAGGGTGGAAGTAAAAGAGGACCAATTCCTTCCTTCGAGTCGATATGCGAGGTGGATTTGTTTTTGTAGTTATCTTCTACTAGCCTTTGTCTAAAGAGACAGAAACTACTAGGGAGAAGCGGTTTGAATTCTTTCTCCTAGACTGGTTGCTACCCAAGGCTATAGGACACAGTCTTCACTGCTATTTTACCCGTAGCTAGGGGAGAAGAGATGAATTCCAAGGGTATTGGCACGTAACTGAATATAACAAACTGGACTCTCCCGATTCCTCAATCCGAGCCAGTATCCATTATTCATCCCTGCTTCCTATTGGAAAGAGCCATATAAATCCATGAGGATGTAAGCCTGTGTTTTATAGATTACGCAGAAGCATTTGATAAGTTACTGATAAGGATCTATTTGAAGTTAGAAAAACAAGATCCATTTGGGAAGGATGTTAGAGTAATCTAACCGCCTGCATTGAGATAGAAAATGAATTCGCTAAATACTGATAAAGACATTATTTTCTGTCACCACTAGAGGTACGGACCAATCCCTTTCTTCGGGATGACATACGAGGAAGATTTGTTATCGAAGTCTCCTTCTTGTACCCTTTGCCTAAAGAGACGCGACCTACACGTAAGCAGATGGATGGATTTTTTAAGGCTAGTTTGATTTCAGAATTTTCTGTCTTCTAGTCTGGTTGCAGATCAATGCCATAGGACCCAATCTGTTCTACTATTTAGCCATAGCTGGTGAGGCAGGGAAGAGATAGGTCATATGTTTGCTAAGTGAGTGT